TCTGTCTGTGTGTCTGTGTGTCTGTCTGCTTGCCTGTCTACTTATCGATTTACCTGTAAAGATTATCTATCTATCTATCTATCTATCTATCGATCTATCTAGCTAGCTAGCTATCTATCTGTCTATCGATCTGTCCGCCTATCTGACTATCCAATTGTCTCTATCTTTATCTGCATCTCGATCTCTATGTCACTCGCTCTCCCTATCCCAAAGCTCCAGCCCCAGCTTCATCTCCATCTCGATCTCCATCTCTGGCTCTATCCCGATCTCTATCTTCATCTGTTTATCCGAGAGCAGTATTGATCGATGGATCAGCTCGGCCTACTATCATCCAGCCATCTAAAACATGTATGTGGCTTTCAAAACTTTTGATGGCATACCTATCCATAGATATACACCTGCATGTTTGTGCTCTCATGTTGTGCAGTTGCGCTTATAGACGAGCGAAGAGCACATGGCAAGTTCACATGCCACAACACGTGCGCGTTTACACCTGCGTGGACCTCCATATCTCAAAGCCCTGCAATACGGTTCAAGGTTTAATATAGGGGTCGGAATAACTTGCAATATGAGCCCGAACTACGATAGCTACACATAGTATAATATGATTATCCCAAAACCATCGTCAAACAGTTTAGGGCCCTTAACTCCGTACAGTAACTCTCTCAGGGAGCCTTACCCCAATCTGTCAAGGCCCTAACTGAACCTAAGCACAACCCTAAACCGAAGCGCTTTTTCCAAAATCCCGAACCCCAAGCCCTAACCCTAAACCCTAAACCCTTTGGGGCCCTTCGGGACCTTCGTCGCCAGGTTTGCCAGGTAAAGTGGAGTGGCCCTCATCAAGGCCTCGAGGTGCAGGGCCCATGAGGGTTTTTAGGGTTTAGGGTTTAGGGTTTAGGGTTTGAGGAATGAGGGGTTTAGAGGGTTCCTTAAAGGGTACTACAAGGCTTCCTTTAAAGGGATCTAGAAGGTTTAGAGGGTTTATAGGGTTTAGGGGTTCGTTCAGGTTTTAGGGTATATGGGTCTTTCCAGGTTCCTTAAAGTGTTTAGGGTTTAGGGTTTTTGGGTCCGTGTAGGGTTCCTTGGAGGGGTTTGGGTTTAGGGTTTCGGGTATATGGGTATATGAGTCCGTTTAGGGTTTCTTTCCTACTTGGCTTTCTTGCAGCTTCGGGGTCTCTGACCTCATAAGCCCTAAACCCTAAACCCTGGAACACTAAAGCTCTAAACCCTGGCACCCTAAACCCTAAACCCTAAACCCTGGAACACTAAAGCCCTAAGGCTTATGGGCTCATGGGTCCCTAAGTACGAGTAGGTGCTACGTGCTGAAGTCGCAGCTGGGTTGTGTAGTCAGTTGCGACCCCCAAGTGCGACTTACAGTGTTAGCCGGTGTGACTCCTTAACTTTCAAGGTTTCTAAACCCTAAACCCTAAACCCCAAACAAAGCCTAACCTTAAACTGACTAGCTGACACTTGCGTAAGCTCTAGCTCTGCGAGGGTCATCGGCTTCCGACGAACCTTAACAACTGATTGTTTGTAGATTACTATCCACGTGCCCCCATTGGCCTGAAGTTGTTGCAAGTTTCGGGTTTAGGGTTTAGGGTCTAGGGTGAAGGGTTGAGGGTTTGGCTTTTCTTTTAGGGGCTTTTGCATATTTCGACACCAGCTTCTTCTGGGATGAGTCGGGAAGGAATGGGAAAGGAGAGGCAAGGCATGTGCGAGAGCGACAGAGATCAGGTTTCGAAAGACCTAAACCCTAAACCCTATAAAAATCCTTAGCCGTAAGCCAAAGCCATCCTTGCACCGTGAGGCTCATGTGGAGCGTTACAGAAACAGCCCGGTGATGCACAAGCGTGTGCCCGATCATTACAAGCCCGTGGTTTTCCATGGTGGCGTGCGCCAGCCCTTCCCACGGCCCACGAAGAAGATCAAAGCACCAAGTCTGTAGGTAGGTAGTCGAAGAAGAAGATGCATGCTCCCTAGACCTGTATAGTTGTGGCCGGTTTTGGACACTTCGCAGGACTCCCCAGCTCCGAAGCCCCGTCCTGAAGCTTTGCCCTTTTTTTCGCACCGAGGGGGTGAGGAAGGGGAGCTCCATTGCACAGAATCGGATGGGGCTGCACAGGAGGCAGATGGTGTTCTTCCAAGTTGGGGGTCCTTCATATGGGTAGTTGTCTACATTAGGGCCCCTTTCAGGGGCCTTTTTATAAGGGTGCCGTACTATATTAGGGACCTAGAAGGGGACCCTAGTTTAGAAAATTATCCATAGGTCTTCCGAAGACTGCAAGCTTTCGATTTAACAGGGACCCCCAGCTCAGAAGAATGCCAGTTGGATAGATGTCTCTCCTGTGAGTGCTGTTAAAGAGCAGCACTGGGGCTGCCAAGCTCATGGCGAAATGTTGGCTGCTTTATGACCGTGTGTCGGCGCCACATGTGGAAAAGGGCACGGTTCAGGGCCTGGGTGCCGGATCTTGAAAGTGCTTAAAATAGGGGCTGAAGTAAGCACCAATACTATGGTGGGGGTTCCTTTTTATAGTTATAGTAGAATATACCCCAATCCCCTATTCTAGTTTTTTAAGGCTTCTACTTTAGAAGTGGTTTGTTTGTCATCTTGGAAACCAGCATTGCTCTCTGTCAACAGCTGCGGCGCGTGCGATAAACCTTTAGAAGTCACTTTCGAGAATTCCATCATGCCGGCTTAGCCATGGACAGACCTTGCAGCTCGTCGGGCCCAGGACGTCAGTGTCGTCAAACAGTGCGACCATCGCGAGCCTTTGTGTAGTCTTCGCTCCCCCATGTCCTGCCTCTCGACCATGCCGGCCACGCCCCGAAAGCTCGCGCGATGCAGTGGCTCGGAGACCACAGTGGTTCCGGAGCTCAGCGACAGCGAGAGCCTCGAGGGGACCTGCTCCTCCAGCCTTCCTTCTCCACGCCCAGACACACCGGAGTGCGGTGTGGGCGGGCAGTGCAAGGTTTTCGTCAAGACTACGTTCCTCGATGTGGATGAGGGTGAAGGCCTCATGCAGTGCTTCACGCAGCTGCGGGGTCGGACCATGTCAGACTCGGCTTTGGTGATCGCCTTCGACATCGAGGAGGCCTACATGCCCGGAAAGTTCAGTGAGGAGCATGCCAGTGATTGCACGGCAAAACCTACGGTGGCAAAGGCAACAGAGCCAGCCACCCAGCCGAAATCGCAGCCAGTTCAGAAGAAGATCAGCCCGGCAAAGCAGGCTTCGGGCAGAACGACCCTCATGCTGCGCAACGTTCCCAATAACTACACGCGAGAGATGTTCCTAGCCCTCCTTGACGACAACGGCTTCGCTGGCCGCTACGACTTCGTCTACTTGCCCTGTGACTTCCGGCGCCAGGCAGATCTAAAACGTCGTTTGAAGACGTGTCAGCGGTATCTAAGCTACTAGAGTAGGGTCATCTTATGCTTCCCTCATTATCCCTAAACCCTAAACCCTAAACCCTAAACCCTAAACCCTAAGCCCTAAACTCACGAAGCCCCCCCCCCCCTCTCCTAAACAGGGAGTTTCAACGCTTGGAGCCCTTCAGCCCTCGCCCTCGCCACTGAGCCTTCCGAGATGTAGGGTATATCATCATAAACCCTTTCCGTCCTGCCCGTAAACCCCAAACCCTAAGCCCTAAACCCTAATCCCTAAACCCTAAACCCTAAACCCTAATCCCTAAACCCTAAACCCGTGGACTTTAAAAGGCGAACCTGGGCTATGCCTTCGTAAACCTCGTGGATGCCTCCGCCGTGGATGCCGCCTGGGCCGCTTTCGATGGCTTTGTGGATTGGGCTCTGCCAACTCAGAAGGCTCCAAGCAAGCTTTACAAAGGTTCCCAACATACTAACCCCATAGAAACCCTAAAACCCTAAACCCAAACCCCCACACTAACCCAAATGGGGGTTTCCGAAAATAGGGGACCCTAGTATAGTACCCTAAATAGTAGGATCCTTATTATAAGGACCCCCCAAATAAGGTACCCTAATTTTCGGAAACTCCCATATAAGCTTAGGGGTTTAGGGTTTATGGGTTTGGGGTTCGGGGCTTAGGGGTTTAGGGTTTAGGATTTAGGGTTTTGGATTTAGGGTTCAGGGCTTAGGGGTTGAGGGTTTAGGATTTAGGGTTTTGGATTTAGGGTTCAGGGCTTAGGGGTTGAGGGTTTAGGATT